CTCCAGGAAAGCAGCTTGAAAACTCCTGAATTTACATCAAGTTTAAATAAGAAAGAGGAGCATTTGGCCAAATTATTTGGTAAGTGACCTCCTCATGGGAAACCTTTAGGCTGGCTTAAGTCCTTGGTTGTTTCCCAGGTAACCTGTTCCTAGTGCTTTGGGGGAAGGCAAACTCTGTGTCTTGTGGCTATAATTAATTCCTCTAAGAGTCAAGGTCTCGAGAAATTAAACAAAATATGGAAGATAAACCCTTGGAAAGAACCCCATTCCTCACAGAGTGATCCAGGCAGCAGCAGCAGGAGCACCATGTGGGCGCAGGGAAATGCTCTGGGGGTTTTTATTTTATTTTTTTTTAATTTTTATTGTTGGTTGTTCAAAACATTACATAGTTCTTGATATATCATATTTCACACTTTGATTCAAGTGGGTTATGAACTCCCATTTTTACCCCATATACAGATTGCAGAATCACATCAGTTACACATCCATTGATTTACATATTGCCATACTAGTGTCTGTTGTGTTCTGCTGCCTTTCCTATCCTCTACTATCCCCCCTCCCCTCCCCTCCCCTCCCCTCTTCTCTCTCTACCCCCTCTACTGACATTCATTTCTCCCCCTTGTATTATTTTCCCCTTTCCCCTCACTTCCTCTTGTATGTACTTTTGTATAACCCTGAGGGTCTCCTTCCATTTCCATGCAATTTCCCTTCTCTCTCCCTTTCCCTCCCACCTCTCATCCCTGTTTAATGTTAATCTTCTTCTCATGCTCTTCGTCCCTACTCTGTTCTTAGTTACTCTCCTTATATCAAAGAAGACATTTGGCATTTGTTTTTTAGGGATTGGCTAGCTTCACTTAGCATAATCTGCTCTAATGCCATCCATTTCCCTGCAAATTCTATGATTTTGTCTGGGGGTTTTTAAATAGAGAGATTCTGCCCTGCCCTCAGCAGTCAGATTCTGTGTTGTTATGGGGAGAACTTTGCATCAGTAGTTTTTAAAGTCCTCCAGGGATGCTCAACTCTGCCTCCTTGATCCAAGACTCTTAATTACTATATGAAAAAAAAAAAAAAAAAGAAACCCAACAACTGGTTCAGGTGGAAGATGGTGGGGTGGCACACTCTAGGACTTTTCCCCTTAACCAAAACAACAACTCTCTTAGGAAGAACTATCTTCACTGGACACTTGTGAAACACTTGCCACGCACCAGTGACCTTGGGGAAGGGACTGATAGGTTTTGTGAATGTCAGCATTTCATGTAGCAGCTCCCATTCTCCATCCCCAGCCCTGTGGCTGGCTGATGTGAGGACAGCAGTACACAGTCCTGGAGCCCCATGGGCAACAGGGACACTGTCCTCCAAAGCTCAGGGTGTGTGTTTTGGTTGCTGATGGTTGCTTTAGGTCACAGAAGAGCCAGCCCTAGCCTGGCCGTTGGTTAAATCTCCAAGGGCTGAAGAGGCCCCCAAACCACTCTGTGCAGGGGATTTAGAGGAACAACACTGTTTTGCTTTGCCCTTTTGGGGTTTAGATGCTTAAGTAAACCTTTATCAGGTCATTGGTTGACCTCAGAGATAAGAAAACAGGAACAGCACCCCACACAATAAACCATACAAATACTATAACAACAGTTTGAAACTATCACAAATGGATGCTTCCATTCCTTAACAAGCAGAAGTCAGCAGTCCTATAGAAACGTGAGGATTGTGTTTCATAAGTCATCAAAAACAATACTCAGAATATTTAACTTCAACATAAAATACAAAACATACAAAGAGACAGGAAGCATGGCCCATTCACAGGACAAAGGGACTTGACAGAACCCATCCCTGAGGAAGCCTGGACATTGGAACTATTAGTCCAAGATGTTACTTCACCTGTCTTCACTGTGTTCATTGAACTAAAGGACCCATGGTCAGTGACATAAGGGAATCAGAAAGATAATATGTGAACAAAATTAGATAGAAATTATGATAAGGATCCCTAGGCGAATTCTGGTGCTGAAAAGAACAGTCTCTGAAACAAATAAGTCACCTGAGGGGTTCAGCAGCAGGTGTGAGCAGGCAGAAGAAAGGATCAGCAAACTCAGAAGAGCAGAAATTATCTGCTCTGAGTAGCAGAAAGAAAACAATGAGATGAAAAGGAACAGCAGAGGAGGGACTTATGGGACCCCATGAAGCACAGCAGGGTACACAGTATGGAATCTCAGAGAAAGAAGGGAGAACAAGTTTGAAGAAATAATGGCCCAGCCTTCCTTATATGATGAAAGGCTCAACTAGACACATCCAAGAAGTTCAACCCACTCCAAGCAGGCCAACAGAAAGAGATCCATGTTGAAACACATTGTAGTGTAGTTGTCCAAATACACAGAGATGATCTGGAAAAATAGTGTGTGTTGGGGGGAGGGATTGACATATCACATATAGAGGATCCTGAATACAATTTGTAGTTCATTTCAATGTAAAAAGCATGGAAGCCTGACCATAATGAGGTGACACATTTAATCCAATGTCACGCTAGAACTTACGTCTATGAAAATGGACCTCTAAGAATAAAGGACTGGACTGGGGTTGTAGCTCAGTGGTGGGGAGCTTTCCTCACATGTGAAGCACTGGGTTCAATCCTTAGCACCACATAAAAATTATACCAATAAAAGAAAGGTATTGTGTACATCTACAACCAGGAATATATTTTAAAAAACTGAATAAAGGACTTTTGCCCAGTACAGTGGCGCATGCCTATAATCTTGGCAGCTTGGGAGACTGAGGCAGGAGGATCATGAGTTCAAAACCAGCTTCAGCAAAAGTGAAGTGCTAAGTAATTAATTGAGACCCTGTCTCTAAATAAAATACAAAATAGGTCTGAGGATGTGGTTCAGTAGTTGAGTGCCCTGAGTTCAATCCCTAGTACCCCCTCATCCCCCCCAAAAGAATGAAAGTCTTAAAAAATATATTTTGTTTTTATTTATATGCAGTGCTGAGCATCGAACCCAGTGCCTCATTCATGCTAGGAAAGCAGTCTACCACTAAGCTACAACCCCAGGCCAGGGACTCTTAACTTATATGCCAAAATTAAAAGTCGAAGTGTTTCTGAGATCTAAGTTTACGGGTCAAAACCATTATATTCCAGAGGTAATGATAAAAATCATGACCTTGGAATAGATAGTGATGTCTTAAATTTGACACCAAAAGCACAGGCAACAAGAGAAAATAGATACATTAGATGTCATCAAAATTTAAAACTTCTTTGCATCAAAGGCATTTGTCTCACAAAATGAGAATAAACATTTACATATCCCTTACCTGATATGGGACTAATGTCCAGAATATCTAGTGGACTCTTCCTATAACTCAACAACAACCATGACAACAGAACAAACAATAAACTCCCAAAAGAACATGAACAGTCACTATCCAAAGACAATGCATGAACTGATTCAGAGAGAGAATGCTCAATGTCATTGGTCGTAGGAAAATATAAAATGCCACTGCTTCCCAAGTGTAGGTGAGGATGAAGGCAGTTGGAAACTGAGCATGGCTGGTGGGAATGTACAGTGCAGCCCTTGCTGAGAGGACATTTTGACAGCTGCTTGGAAGACTAAACAGAGGACCATCAGGTGACCAGCAGCCCCACTTGTAGAAGGTACCACAGGAATTGACAACAGGAGCCCAAACACTTTACGCCAGCACTCAGGGCAGTGTTATTCACAGTAGGCAGGAGTGGCAGCAACCCAGGTGCCCATCAACACATGAAGGCAGAAGCAAAATGTGGAATGTCATTTTCTCACAAAAAGGGTGACGGGCTGATGCATGCTACAGCGTAGATGGACCTTGAAGGCATCGTGTAAGGATATAAGCAAGTCAGAGGAGCCCAAGTGTCATGAGGTGCTACTTATATAGAGAGCAGGCAGGTTCATAGGAGCCTGAAGTAGAATAGAGAGATGGGGCTGGGGGAGGGGAGAGTCGCACTGGTGTGTGAGGGGTGTCTGCGTCAGCATCCTGCTGCTACAACAGGTGACTACACACTGGTGACTTATGGTGAACAGAGTTGCTTGGCTCACTGCAAGTCCAAGGTTGAGGGTGTGGCACCTGGAGGGGCTTCTTGCTGAGTGTCCTGTAGCAGTAGCTGAAGGGCAGGAGAGGGAGGGACAGAGGGAGAGAGGAGGGGAGCAGGGGTACAGATGGAAGCACCCTTGTCTTTTCATAAAGAGGCTCCACAATTGAGATGTGGAGGGAGGAGCTGTCTGAATCCTCTCACAGCTTTCCATCAGCTGTGGGAGCCTCCAATGTTCTAAAGCGAGATTATCCCTAAAATTTGATGTGATCCTGGATGTGCAATGTCATACCAGTTCTGTCACTTGCGACACTGCTCAGAATACAGGAACCTGATTTGCAAGTGGTCTCCTATTTCCTGTCACATGAACCCTGAGATGTAAAATAATTTCCCACTTGACACACTTTATACTTGAATGTGCATGGAGTGGTTTGAGCCAGTTTGTTCATTAATATTTCCTTCAATGAAGGATAAGTCCAGAAACGACTTACTCTTGGCATTTCCCTAGAAGTCACAAAAATGAAGAACATACTCTAACCCAAAGTAGCTTCATACTATTGGAAAATAAAAAGTATCAGTTTGAGAATTAAGATATGAACAGGTGGGGCTTGGGATGTAGCTCAAGTGGTAGCGCGCTTGCCTGGCATGCGTGAGGCACTGGGTTCAATCCTCAGCACCACATAAAAATAAAATAAAGACATTGTGTCTACTTAAAAACTAAAAAAAATAAACATTAAAAAAAAGATATGCGCAGGTAATCAGGATGGAATTGTGTACCTGAAATCTGCCCACTGCAATAAAAGTACCACAGCTTGCATGGGAATTAGCCCTCTTGCTAGTGTGCACACAGGTGGACATTCTATTTCCTGACAATAATTTTCCATATGCCCTGC